TTGGTCAGGGTTTAAGTTGATCAGTCAGAACAGAGATATCAGTGGCTTTAAAGAGGCTGCTTTTGATGTTATTTAGAAGTACCGACCTCTAAATAAGAGATAACTTGTCGACAACACTCCAGACATGACTAGTTTTCGAGAATTTCGTGAGTTTACTAGCGAGCTAAGACATTTATTCTGCACAATTCTAAGGTTTTCCAAATCATGTTTTGATTGTTTCCATTTTATTTAAGCTCATATAGGTTGCTTTGTCTGTATTAACATCGAGGTCGCTGTATGTTTCATTCTGCAAAGGCTTTCCTACTTACATTATTAAATCGGAGAATAGGGTTAAATTACTTTAAATGATTTCTATATTAAAGAGATTATACCTAATTTTATTCTATAGATAATAGCCATATATATATATATATATATATTGTGTGCATTTAGGGAGCATCTTTCCATGTGTACACGTTTCATTAAATAATATAGACAAGTGTTGTCTATTTATTTTATGTAAAATTTTTTCGTAACATCTGATAAGTTTAATAACATTATCGTTGAACGAAGAAAGAAATTCACAATATTGATCCATATTTTTTTTAATACAATCTAAGCTTTCGGCTTGCTTAAGCCATTATCAAAGATGTCAATTACAACATATTAAACAATATACGGACAAGACAGTGATGATAGTCTATCAATGCTTACATAGATGATTTCTAAGCAACGATAAACACGCGCATATAAGACGCTAGAAGCGAAAATCACACCGCATCTCATGACGTCACATATGACCACACGAGAGTGAATTGTAGAAGTATGAAGTATGGGAAGCCGTTGGTATAAACCAATGGCTTCTGTTACCAATTATAGACATTTAAGAATATTTATAGAGATGCCATAATTGATTTTGTTTCGGTTGGGTTTCAACTGTATGATGTATAATGCTTCAAGGATTTTTAGTTTTTGTCGAAGTATAATTGTGTTTTCGACAAGTATTTTACGGAATTGTGAGTGCGGGCAGGCATGTTGTTTTAAATGAGTTGTCATTCAAATGTAGTGTCAAGCGTCGTGAAAGCGAGTTTGTGGTGTGACCAACATAAATATTATTTAATTCGTTGAAGATACACTCTCCCAAAGGGCACTTGAATTTATAAACTATGTTGGTTTTTTGCAAATCGCTAACATGGGAGAAGAATCATTGCGAAGAATTAAGTTGGATATACTAGATTTAGTGTAGTATATGATTAATTTAATTTTTTTACTAGGATCTGTAGTTGATATATTAGAATTTACTAAATTTTTTAGTATATTTTCATCTTGTTTATAATTAGTATGCATTTGATTACGATATAGGAGATTAATATATTTGAGATCAGTAGAAGCAGTATTATGTACAATTTACTTATTATTGAGATTTCTGAGAAAGCATCTTATTTGTTCATCAACTATATAGTTTGGAAAGCTATTATTAATAAGTGTATGTTTTATATTATTTAGTTCACTGTAAAAAATCGATTATGTGGATGAATTAGTTTCTGCACGATCTGTTAGATTCTTTATAATTGCTATTTTGTAGTAATATGGGCATTCGCTCTTGTAGTTAAGTGTACATGAATTTATGATTGTAGGTTTTTTGTTTGGCGAAAAAGTAAATTTGTTATTATTTGTGTTTATTAATATATCAAGGAAGGGGATTTTATTATTAGTACTGAGTTCATATGTGAATCTAAGGACAGAATTATTTTGGAAACGTTTTTGAAGTTGAATTATTTACATAAAATAAATAGACAACACTTGTCTATATTATTTAATGAAACGTATATATATATATATATATATATATATATATATATATATATATATATATATATATATATATATATATTTCTGGACGGATTTACTAATCTTTTATAGTTTTGAAGATTTAATTTCTACAATGCCAGAACTTAGGAGTTTCTATAATAAATTCCAGTGCATACATTAATTACTTTCTTTCTTAGTTTGAGAATTAAATAAAAGTGGATAAAACATATTTTTGACGGGAACTAAATACTGTTTTTTATCACCCCAAGCAAGGTAGTAAAGCCGCTAAAATACAAGAGATTATAGAGTGTGGAAGAATTACGAAAATACACATTAATGTGCATAGAGAAAAAAGAGTAACCAAGAAGACAGTATACAATGATTCATATTGGATTTAAATTTTTGCATGTTAAAGATGGCTGGAAAGCATGAACCCAGAACGGAACGCAAGAATCTGTTAGCATATAACATACGGCTCCACCTAGCTAACTCAACTGTATATTAATGAGATCTCGACGCCAAATTCATAGAGTCTATGTACCACAGCGAAGAGCTTATTCAAGCAATTACGATGAAATTATTTCTAAAAAAGACACAGAGAGTCAACATTACAGCCGTGGGTAAGTGACTGAAGCCGAGTCGCCAGATACGTAAAAATAATATTACTGATTCTTTTTGGATGTTAGCAAGCAGCACCAGAAAAATAGCAGGAGCACTGAACCATATATGGTAGTAATATTCTAAGTATAACGAGTGATAGCATTATAGATATGCAAGATAAATTCCGGAGAGAAAACTGTCACGAAGAGACACATTAAACCAACTTTCTTAGCAGCTGAATTAGCAATGAATTCAATACTGTCTATCAACTTCATGTCAGCTTAAAAACGTTAGCCAGAGAAAGCGCAACGAATCACTTTTCTGGAGGTTAGCATCAGCCAGGTTGATGGAAAGCAGAGAGGCGTTTCTCAGATGATTAATGGAGAGAATTTTAGTTTCGGAGGCGTTAAAATTAACAGTCCATCTTTTGCCCCAGTTAACGACGGACATGAGCCCGTTTTGACCATCACCTGCCATTTTAACCTTTTCGGACTGATAAGCCTTATTATCGCTAAATCATTTAATAGATGTAAATTCAATACCTAAAACGACCGTGTATATTCACAGCTGAAATATAGTCGACGGTAAATCATAAAACTTGTTTAATCTTTCGTTTCCATTTAGAGTTTTCTTATTAAAACGAGAGATCATATTTGTCGTTTCTCATAAACATATCTGACCCATTTTACTATAGGTTACTTAAACAGTAATTATCTTACAGCTATTACAGTTGGCGGGAAGAAATTGTAACAAAATTGTACCATACACACAACTTCACGCAGCCTAACGAAAAGGCGATTTCGACACGTAGAAAATGTGTTGGAAGACATACATGTTAAATACTTACTGGCAGAAATACAGTTTTATATCGACACAGAGGTAGACACCAAGAAGAACGTACATAAGGACAAGATTAGTCATGATAAATATTATTTATATACAATTATCCATGAGCAAGCCATGACTGAAAATGCTTTCATCAATCTGTCCACAATTTCCGCTATACCACGAATAATTAAAAAATAACAGACTAGAAGACTGCCTCTTCTGGGAGAGTCAATATGTTGTTTCACGAAAGTCAGTTCTCTCTCTGGCAAGCAAGGACAACAGATGTGTTTTCTTTCGTCGTAGTTCCGGAGACGTTCGCTATTCTATCGCTAACTGCATGGCAATTCTTTGAACGAGCTCCATTCTTTATTTTCAAAGGTTCCGAATATCTCGTGGATGATTGCTCGATCACGACGAAATCCAATTTTTATCTATCCTCCCTAACCTCATTGTCTTCACACCCTACTTCCTCTCTTTACATTCAGTTCACACAATTCATTCAGAAATGTTATAATGTGAGACGCTCTTCATAATGGGTGAAAATGAGTTAAAAACTTGTTAAAATTTCGAAACCATGATATTATTGCAGATCTGATCTTTTATTTGAAATATAACATTGGATTACGCCTACTTATCCATCTATTAATCTGCACATCTTTGTCAGTTGATTATATAATGTAATATAAAATTTGTCTAATATGGCACAAGGACATGATAGTTAAGATGAAATTGAAAACGAATATCCGTGCGGAAAAACGGTTCAAAACATCATTCTCTTGCTGGAGGCGATTTCAAATTTTGATGGCACTGATTGAGATGGTATTCACATTGCCGGTGTCGGGTTTTATGCAATTTATGGAAGCTTAGAAGCAATTTAGTTTTCATGTGGTTATACAAAACACTAATGGTTATATTAACTGTTTCCTTATAAGGAAACATTTAGCATTTATTTATTTACCAAGCAACCAATACTGATGTTTAAAATTTTAAAATCTCTCTATTAAAGAACTCTTTGAAGAAAATATGTTTCTCAAGCTCTTTTCAGCATTGATGGGGACTTTCTTCCTAAAATTTTGCTTGAAGTAGTGTGGAGGGTCATCATCTTCATTAAGTCAAAACTTTAACTTCAGGTTATATGTGCTATCCATTTTAGTTGTTGCTATTGTTGAAAGTCCGTAAGTAATGTGGTTTCTGTTATTTGGTACAGTTTTTTTTTGTTCGTGATTCTGCAGCGCCAGTTCACAAGGTTAAAAGAAGAATGATTTCCGTCGGGATTCACAGGCGTCACTCACGCACTTTTAACCATTGATTTTATAAAGCGGTTGACGAGGTTGACGCCATGAAAGATATCCGTATGAAAATCTCGATCTGACGACGCTATTTAGTATAGGATTTTAGCAGACATTGAGTTAGTTTCGCCCAGCACCGGAAATTGCGTACAAGCTAAAATGGCAACCTGAAAAAAAAAATCAGTGAGCTACTTAAATGTCCTTGTCAAGGAGACATTTTCAAGTTGATTTTTCTAGATTCGTTTTTGACGGTTTATCAACTCTTTACAGGTTATTTAAACCAGGAAATATTTTCAGATTGTAAGAATATTTTTGGTGTTAATAATAATTTAACGATACAAATCTTACTAATTAATCCATAGCTGGGGGAAAAGAGGTGGATTCATATATTTTCCAAGAGTATTTGCTTGTAAGTGGATGTAACGAATCAAACTGGAATTGAAACTCAATCATCTGATTAACATTATCCATTATACCACCGAAACATCAAAGCTTACAGCACCTGGTATTCCCAAGCAGTTACCCATCTAGGTACTGACCCGTCACGAGGGTGCTTAACTTCGGTGATCGTACGGAAACCGGTTTTGCAAGCCAGAAAGCTTTAAGGAAAATGAGAAAAAATGAGAAACCCAGAATCAGAAAATACATTTGAAATCTGCAGAACACATAAAGAGGAGAGAGTGCTTAGTGAAATTGACACTCACAGGATACATTCAAGGCAAGGGTGGCAGATGGGATCAGCATGCAACCTGACCCGCGAGTATGTGTAAATGCATCGCATAACAGAGACTATGAGGCGACAAATATTCGTTGCAGCAAGAAAATACAGGAAGTCTTGGAGAATGAAGATCGCCTACATCCTGAAAGATGTCCATCGATCTTAATCAGTATAAATGATATATATATATGATATGATTGTATGTACATGGAGAGGTATCCTAGCTTTCTCATTATTGCTACCTCGAGCTATGAGTGGAGAATAGACACTAGACAGACTGAGTTCGTCTCAGGTCAAGAATAAAAACAACTCTTAATTCAAATCCGGTTTCGTATGAAAACCTATTTTATAAAGCGTAAATGCGCTGAGGGCGTAAAAAATACTTTAGCTTAACGATTTTTTTACTTTCAAAACAATCTTTTTTCTTTTATAAAACAGAGAACGGGCACTTCTCAGGAGATCTCATGTCTCTAAAATCTTGAAAAGAAAATATACATCCAAATATTCTAAGAAATAGGACTTAAAAAAAAATTCCAAAACAGATATTGTTACCTGGAATCGGAACGAAATCAGTGATGACACATGCGCTAAATTCATCATAAAATTAACGGTAATAAATGCAGTTAAGCAGTAAACAGTATAAATACCTCGGTGTATGGATCGGTTATAAGAAATTTTGCATAGGGATAAGGAAATTGAACAAACTGCGGTATACGTAGTTTTGCCGAACACCACAAATTGCTGAAGCAAAAAAAAATCACTAACACGAAAATTCCAATTATGTTCTTAAATAGCATGTTCAGATTGAGAAATTCATATGGATGTCATGCATGGCACCAAGACCGTTCAGACATATTTAAACTGTCAACTGCATACAACCAATTACTCTAATCAATGCTTATAAATGGTTTTCATCGAGTGAAGCCTATGGAACTTAGTGAAGGTCACATTTATTCGAACCTTGTGGATACGCGCTACAGAATCAAAATACAGATGGGACACTATTTAGCGGTCGCGTGAAAATTAAAAGCGAGAAATAATTAAGGCAAGAAGAAGCTGAAATAATTAAGGCGGTAAGAAGCTATCACGAAAAGACATACTGAGCGGTGTTATATTTTTTTTAACAAAGAAAAGTGGTAAAGATTTTATTTTCATTTGCGAAAAAGAAAAAAAAGTTTTTTTTTTTTCGCGGAAGATAGGAAATTCGTAAGACCACGGATCTGTCGGAATAAATTTATGTTATGACGCGGCGAAAGAAGATGGCAATCTGCCCATGGCAATAATGAAAATGTTAAATTGGTCAAGTGGCCTACGAAACAGAAGCTGGGAGATAATGGTAATCAGGTCACGCACTGACCGAGAATGGCATCAGCTTAGGCCATCCCCAGAGAGAAAGGGAGAGAAAGGGAGAGAAAGGGAAAAATAAACCATTAACTATCCTTCGGAGATATCATTTGGTTTTGGGAAAAACACCTGTTTTATGTTCAGATCTGGCGATGATAACAGGACGGGAGAGATAATTAGCGACAGAGTGCGAAGACGCTAGCGAAAATCTCGTTGATAAAGTCCAGGTGACATTCGGTTAAAATAGAGATTAAGGACCACACTACGGGTTTGGTGTCGGAAAAAGAAAGAAAAGAAAAAAAAGAAGATATTTTTTTTTCCTTTGAGCGATAATTGTAAACACCCGCGCTGCTGAGCGTCATTGGCTGAGTGGTAACGTGAGGTAAACATATGAGAAGGAGGGGAGGCCTGTTGACAACTCTTAGGGGATTGGTGTGAGATACCACTGTGAGAGAGAAGGGAGGCCTGTTGACGCCTCTGAGGGGATTGGTGTGAGATACCACTGTGAAAAAATGGAAAGTAATAAATTTTCCTGTCCGAAAACAAAGAAAATCCTTATTGTGGATTTAGAATTATCGAGGAACTCAAAACCCGACAAGCCCACACGCGGTTTTAGTCGGCGTCCATATAAACAGAGTCGCAGCGAGTAGACGATAGTTAAGTAGTTGGAGTTGGAGTTGGAGAGACGCAGACAGAGTTGAGCTGTGAGCTCTGAGACCAGGCTCGCAGGAAGCTGACTGAAGATCGACGCATCCCGACTTCGACTTCTAACCAAGAACAATTTATTTTTGAAGAAAGACTTGGACTCACACCACCAAAACAAGTTTTACAAATATCACCTGAAGTTACAAAAAAAAAAAAAACAGTTATCAAAAAAAACTTAAGATATTAAGACTCGCCTAACAAGCGCAAAGTATCACGAATCCATAGAAGCAGTTTGGGAGAAAGATGCAGTCCTGTATTCAGCAACCAGATATAAAAATATTTGTTGTTCTTTTTTTTAACACATTTGAAATTTGAGTTGTTACTTTATTTTCTTTTACATATACTTGTGTGGTGTTACCATTGCTCGGACTCGGCTTGCATTGCGGCCTGGCGACTGATTGATTTCGTCTACCTAAGATCAAATCACAACGTGGGTAGGTTAGACTAGAAATCAAAGCAGTTACTTCGGTAACCAGACGTTGGAGGCGAGCTGGGAACGACAAGGCTGATACCGAATCTAACCAGATTCCCATCCGAATCAGGAAAAGGTTAGAACGTCACATTTGGTGCCGCGACCAGTACCAAGTCACATTGGTCGTCCCAGGATAGCACGGCGTCGGGGGCAGAGAGGCCAGAGTGATGTCACAGAGTGGTGTAACCGGAAGAGAACATAATGACGTAAGCAAGATTCTAACATTCCACACAACATCAAATAAAATGTTAGGAATGAAATCCCCTTCAAAACTGGAAAAGTGGTAACAGCCACTGGACTTGGGAAAGCCATTTTCCTGAAGAACTAATTTAAGAGAATGAGCTTTAGTAATTTCAACAGACAGCCTTACTGTCTGGTCGGTCAATGAATACTGAAACATCAAATATATAAAATTAATATTGTTGTAACCTAGGGAAGGTTAGTGAATAGAATAATCACACGAAGCTTGTAATGAGCGATAATACTTAGAACATTAACAACGCATATAAGATTTGCCAGCGGCGTGTAGAAGTAGTAGTCAACTGCTAGAAGTGAGTCAAGTGAACTCCAACTGCAGGATAGCTACCAACCGCCCGACGCGGTCAGACGTGGCACAAGCCCGAATTTAATGCGTGGTATCGAAGCCCGAAGACTCGACCAAAAATTCCTCCTAGACCCCGTATATAACAGGGTCGGGTAGCTGTTTTCCGAGACGAGATTCTGTCTTTCGACATAGCCTCGTCTAGGTATCCTCTCAGCTCCGGAGACAGAGAGTTTGACCAGCACAGCTGGAGACGAATCTTTTACTACAGCATATCTACCACCCGCCCCATGCGGTCAGATGTTTCATAATGCAGAATATAATGTGGTGTATCCAAGCACGTAAAGTTGGCCAAAATTTCCCTTTAGACCACGTGTAAAACGGTGTCGGGTAGCTGCTTCTCGAGACTAGACGCTGCACTTTGATATAGCCTCATTTGGGGCAGAGAATTTTACCTGCACAGATTGAGATGAATCTACAAGTGCAGTCGAACATACAGTATTTACTACAGAATTTATATGAATGGGGACATAACTATTATCGTCCGTAGGTATGCTACAACAAATACTTAAAAAGTAAGCTAATTTGAAACATATTCATCAATCAATGCAGTGCTACAAGAGGCGTGGTAATGTTACATTCGTCCTTCGTCATCTGAAGAGAATTCAAATAAACCTTGAAACATTATGAAAAATAACTTAGCGACTTCTATTATGAGTGAATATTTTTAATCAAATATTAATATAAGAGGAAGTGTCCATCACTGTTTACGTGTTTTTTTAATAAAAGATTATACAAATGTTTGGACAGACGCTGTGACAAACTGATACTGTCAAATTATGAACCCTATCTATTTCCTCAAATAGGTTCGATCATCAGGAATACTGATTCTGGGAATTGGGTCATTGTAAAGAATGTTTTCAACACAAACTCATCCATCAATGTTTGACAAAACAAACAAAAGAAATAGATGTTTTCCTTGTTATCTTGGAGTTTATTTATATCATAAAATATTCTAAGACTCTTGGCGACAATTTGAATATTGATTACTTCTAAACCATATTTGAATCCGCGACTGAAGGAAGTATATATCTGTCGAAGAGTTATCTATACAGCACATATTTTTTTTAACTAAGCGATTCAGAACGAAAGGCAAAATACAAGACAGACATTTTATGAAATATTTATTCCATATGAAGGAAATAATATAGGCATTAAAATAGAAAATGTAAAACATTTGTTCGTATCTCGATGACGTTATGATCGAACAGCCGACATCTGCAGCGATCAAATCTCTACGTTCGTAGATGTAGCTTCAAAGCTCTGGATGATCGGCTGGCGACATCTTATCTAATTGAATCTGAGAAAAGCCTAAATGCATATTTGTGTTTGCAGTTTTAGATTAGTTTTTTGCTGAGAATTTCAAGTATACCTAATAACAAGAAATAACTGGGTTCCTTTGCGTGTGCAAGGTGGGGCTATGGGCGTTATCTGGCAGCTAGGGAGTGTCACATGAAAGAAGGTCAGGAAGCCCTGGAATGAATTAAGGTTACTAAAAAGGCCTCATTTCATTTTTCTAATGTTCATAAGCATAATCTCAGATACAATTATGATAAATGATTAAATGAATAACGCGTTCGACTGTTAATTGTAAAATTTCTGAGAATCTTAATTCTAATTTCCAAGGAAGTAAAGGTTTGGAGTATCGTTCAAAAAGTAATGTGTACTTTAATTTAATTTTAAATGCATTGAAAGTCATATATTTGTGTTATGTTCTATGAAATCCCAGGTAAAACAATTTTGAATAACCA